CTGGACCACGCCACCAACTGAAAAACACGAGACCAGAATAGACAAATAACACGCCCACTTGTGTAAATTACCTCTTAATATAAGAGACAACGTTGTTTTAATCTTTAATCCTCTCATCACCATGTATGGGTCTCTGAAGGACTCAGTGCTTTCTCTTATTATTTCTCAGTGTAGCCAGCTTTCTTGTTATTATTTGTGATGAGTCACGTCACAGGGAAAACTCAATCAAAACCCAGCAATCATCTCTCCCCGCGTCCAGTAGAAAGTGGGGTATGCCACTCTCCCGACTCTGCAGGTCCCAGACCTGTCTGCTGACTCACACAAACTATTTCTCTGAACTCTTTCTCTCAACACTGGTATGAGCAATATATCAACTTCTTAAAACAACCAAATCACTTCACCACAATCAAGGCTGTTAATTTTAGCAGATAAACTGACGCAACACACCCAAACCATGAGGAAAATTCCTCTTGTTTTTCGCCGGCGCGTGCAGGTGCACAGAGTCTGTTTACTTGGATTCAATTCACATTTAACAATTACTCCTGTCTTCATTCACACTGCCCGCATCCTCCACCAAATTGTTGAGGCCTTTCAAACTACGAGAACCAACCTTCAAACACTTAGCTCAAAACCTGCCTCAACTCGAGATTGTTCAGTGGAAGGAAGACAGAGTCAAAAACACAGCCTGAGAAGTGGTTCTGAATTCAGACAAAGATTTATTTTACCTTCACAGCGCTGGAAAGGGAGACGTCTCACATGCACCTTACATCCATCAAACATGTCTAAGTTACAAAATGTCTTTGCTTCATTTAAATACAGCGTTATCAGTTACATTGGGATTTCCTTATCGTGATGTTGTTCTCTGGGTCAGTCGATGCTCCTGGGTGTGGTCTGGCATGGTCTCGTTTTTTCGCCCACTGCCCCAGCTGAATGTGGTCTGTTCTGGCAAGATAGCAACAGTCTCTGGTTCTCTTGTACAAGGAGTTACGCACATCATGAACTTCTATGACGTACATCATGATTTTGCAGTTTTTACCATACACAGAGAAATATTTCCTGTCAGAGCACAGCAAAAAAGATGACATTTTACAACATTTCACTGGTTCAAAAAACAACTCGTGCTTATTCCTACTCGTGAAGTCATGCTGTTCCATCCCAGTGGCTCACTCATGAACCATGACATTGACCTTTTCTCTCTAGCCCCGCTAGAGAAACAAAAGGTCACTAATCTGGGGGTGATAATGGACCCGTCCTTAAAACTCAACAGTCACGTAAACATGATGGTCAAATCCTGTTTTTTTCAGCTGAGACGGCTGTCTAAGCTGAAGCCTATACTCTCCAAAAAGAACCTTGAGACAGTGATCCACGCCTTCATAACATCTAGGCTTGATTACTGCAATTCACTTCTGTTTGGAATCAGTCAGTCCTCCATTGCTTGTCTACAACTGGTCCAAAATGCTGCAGCCCGATTTTTAACTGGTACAGGCTATAGAGAGCACATCACGCCAGTTTTGGCCTCCCTGCACTGGCTACCCATTCACCTTCGGATCCATTTCAAAATTCTCATGTATGTTTTCAAATCACTGAACAGTTCCGCCCCATCCTATCTCACTGATCTTCTGCAGCCATATGTCCCACCGCGCTCTCTGAGGTCAGCAGACCAGATGCTTCTCTCAGTCCCAGAAACCCGTCGTAAGCTCAGAGGTGACAGGGCTTTCTCTGTTGCAGGTCCACGACTGTGGAATGAGTTGCCACTGAGTGTCTGGCAGGCTCCCACACTCTCAGTCTTTAAGTCTCGCTTGAAGACCCACTTCTATTCGCTTGCCTTTAACACGGTGTGATTTGTTTGGTCCGGTCTGTTCTCTACTCTGTTGGCCATTTTAGTTAGCTTCTGCTGCTATTTGTATCTGTATTTCTATTTTATGTTTTCCTGTCTGCTGTGCATGTTTGGTTCTTTTGTACAGCACTTTGGTTGGCCTTGTTGCTGTTTTAAGTGCTATATAAATAAATTGGTATGGTATTGTATGGTATGGTATTCCGGTGTCAACTTTGCCTATCCTGAAACCATGAACTCCTGTCTTTCAAAAATTTGCTGTCAAACCTGAAAAAACTCGTCGAGGTAAGTGAAGTTGCTAAATGCTACCTGACTTTTGCATGTGAAATTAATTTAGGCTAGTGAAGTCTTATGTAACCTTAACTAGCTTCTTGTTCAACTGTACCGCTAACAAGTAAACACAATTAAATTATTATAATCTAGCATGAACTGGCAACATGCTTGTTGTTAACACAGTGTCGTCTTGGTCATGCGTGTTTGACTGGACGCTAAATAACATGATGCTGTGCATGTTTGTTGCTTGTGTGGCTAGGAGCTCGTTAGCCCCATGCTTATTCATAAGATGATATATTATAGAATGACAGGATTAACACTGTGATAATTACTTTAAAGCAGTGGTCTCAAACTGATCCATGAAAGGGCTGCTGTGGTGCAGATTTTTGCTCAGTTAAGCAAGTGGACATCTGAAATGGCTGCGTGAAGACGGTTTAGTTCAGGGGTCTGCAACCTGCAGCTCTGGAGCCACATGCAGCTCTTTGGTTCCTTTGCAGCGGCTCTTTCAAGCTTTGACCGAAACTAACATAAAACTGAATTTTACTGGTTATACAAACGACAAAAAAAAGATGAGTTCAAACAGTTTTCCTCTCATTTATTTTGCAAATATGTGAACACTGGTGCAAGTACAAGGAGAAACATTCTTTAACTTGATGCTTTATGAAGAACTGCCTGCATAATTTATAGATTTTTTTTTTTTTAAGTTGGTTAAAAACTTGTTGTTTTCCCTCTTTTTTAAAAGAATCTGGTCTTTTTTTACTTTAAATGTTAAAAAGCATTAGATATTTGTTTGCTTTATAATGTCACCCCTACTGGCCATAAAAGCCCCCTCCAGAAAACCTAAAGTGGCTCACGGGCCACCAGTTGATGACCACAGTTGTAGCAGGTTGTTGCAGTTCTGGACATGTTTAATGTAGTGAACAAAGACGTAAAAATGTCTATTTAGATCGTAAAGGTTGCAGACCCCTGGTTTAGTTGATTGAATGATCCAAATCAGATGTACCATCATATGGTTGTGACAAAAACCTGCAGCCACTCTGCCCTTTCACAGATCACTTTGAGACCTCTGCTTTAAAGAGTCCAGCCCTTAATTGTTTTTTTTTATTTGAAGGTGTAGTGTGTGAACACTATGCGATTCTTTATTAGGTTTATATAATTTGTATAAATTAGGATTAAGATTTATTATAGCCTAACAATAGATCGTTAGCTCGATCCATTGTTAGACTGATGGTCCTCCTTTTACATGTGAACAGCTAGCTTGAATGTCAACAACAAACTGGTTGACCCACGATGAGAAGGTGCTATTAGAAGACTGAGCTTTTTATAGCTCCTCAGACTGACAAAGTATTTTGGATTCGAGATGAAACATTTCAACAACTTTTTTTTTTATCTATCCAGAGGACCTGACTTAACTTTTTATATTTACCGGTACTAAGAGTATATTTTTATTTTCAGAGAAAGCACAACACTCATCTCCAGCGATACCTTGCACTGACTGCAACAGCCATCAAAAGGAAAGGACCGGAGTCCAGTGAAGGTGCTTCAACCAGCAAGCAGCGAAAACTGGGGGAAACCACTAAAGTTTCTCAAAAGAGCATTGACCATGCAGTGATAAACTTCATTGTCCAGGGTTTGCACCCTTTTGGAACAGTCAGGATTTCAAAGTCTGGTGCAGCAGCTTCAGCCGAATTCCACTGTGATGTCTCGTTCAACAGTTCGAACCATGATTGAACAAGCTACTGCTGAAATGAAGGCAAATATAAGGAAAGCAATGCAAACTATCAAATACATAGCAACAACAACAGATTCCTGGACTGCACATTGGCAGAGCTTTATTGGAGTGACTGCTCACTGGATAGATCCTGACAGTCTTGAGAGATCTTCAGTAGCTCTTGCTTGCAGGCGGCTTAAAGGTTCCCACACATTTCATGCATTAGCTGGTGTCCTCAACGATATACATACAGAGTACAACATCCGGGAGAAAACTGTAAGAACCACCACTGACAATGGCTCCAATTTCATCAAGGCCTTTAGGGTTTATGGCCCTGACGAAAACAACAATATGGACACATCTAGAGCAGGAAGTTCAGCTGAAGGGCAAAAAGAAGTGGAAGTGAATGATGATGAAGAAGATGAAGATCTGGGAGTAGATATAGAGGCTGTTGAGGTTGCCTCCCTCATGGATGAAGATGATTGTTCAGAATATCAGCTGCCAAAGCATCATCGCTGTGTTTGCCATGTTCTTAACCTGATCTCAACAGTGGATGCCCCAAAAGCAAACTCAAATGAGACCTACAAAAAGGTTTCTCGTGCAGCGTTTGCCAAGTGCTGGGCACTATGGAACAAGAGTGCTCGATCCACGATAGCTGCTGAGGTAATTGGAAGAGAGTGAAAGCTCCAGCTCATCCGCCCCAACGACACCAGGTGGAACTCCTTGTTTCTGGCAGTGGAACGTATACTGGGGATCATTAAGGACAGTGGAGAAGGGGCCATCAGAGCGGTTTCCATTGCACTTAAAGTCCCCATGTAAGTGGCACATAGTCATAAATTTTTATTCTTTTTTCAGTGATCCAGATGTGACTGTTATTGATACTAATGCTGTTGAAAGTCCATGAAAAATTTAACCTACACAAACGCTTCTATTATAAAATCAAACTACGGAAATACTCTGGCCACAATATAACCCTTAATTTCTATATTTATGCAAATGATTGATTGTGATCAGGCTCATTTGCTGGTGAATTGTAAATAACATGTTGATAGTGGTATATTAATTTATGAAATAGTTCATACTAACATACATTACATGGATAAATTATATAATATGATTGTTTGTTTGTGTAACAGGTTAAATCCTGCCAAGTGTGCTTTCCTGACTGAATATGTTGCGACAATGAGCCCAGTTGCCAAGGCCCTCAACATAATGCAAGCACAAGCAAATGTCCATATGGGATGGCTGGTGCCCACCATAACCCTCCTGACTGTGAAGCTTGACGACCTACGACTCTCCAATAAGTTCGGCCAGCCACTGATCGATGCCCTTCGAGGAGGAATAAAGCAGCGCTTTGGACCTATGCTTGATGACCCTGAACTCATTGCTGCAGCAATTCTTCTTCCAAAGTTTCGTACTTCATGGACAAGCAATGAAGACATGCTGAAACTGGGTAAATCATTTAAACTGTTCCTCACATTGCCATCTTTTTATAATTTATAAAAGTTGTAGTGTTCTCTAATGCAAAGAACAGCTCCTCATCATAAAATGTTTTAAAGCAAAAACTGAATGCATTTCACAGTATACAGCAGTGTATTATCTAATGAAATTATATGCAGTCTCCACATCCCCATCTGTTTTTCTCATTCCACTGAAGAGCAAAATTAGAGTTGCTTCTCTTTATGGTCATTTCTGGTTATTGAGACACATACTTTGTTGTTTTGAAAGTACAGTGGTGTCATTCATGTGTCTCATTTAGGTAAGTGGATGAATTATGTCTCCTCTATTTGGTAATAATGATGATTGTTGTGTGTAGGCCTGAACTACATCAAGACCCGCTTGGAACAGGAGTCAGTGCAGCTCCCTGGTAACAACTCAAGCTCATCAGAGGAGGAGGACTACTTTAGTGTCATGAAGGGAAACGTTCCAGAAAGTGCCAGACAGCTAGATGGATACTTGGCCAGCACAGCCACTACCATGGATGTTCTAAAGTCAGTCCCTGCAGTGTGCGATTTGTCTTTGAAGGTAAACACACCCTTGCCTGCCTCAGCAGCATGTGAGAGACTGTTCAGTACAGCAGGACAGATTTTCTCTCCCAAAAGAGCCAGACTGGACTCCAAAAACTTTGAAAATCAACTTCTTCTGAACTTGAACAAGAAATTCTTGCCACAATATTAAAATGTTTCAGTTCATGATGTTAGGACAGGAGACGAGATGTCTCCAAATATCTCGTCACTTGGGTCCAAGTTTTGTAAATGGTGTCAGGAAGTTAGGTTAACTAGACATTTTTTTTAATTAGCATTGATGACAAACTGGAGTTGAAATGATCAGTGCCTATTCCTTTGTTAGATGTGTCTAATGCCCCTTTTTTCAGGCAGACCGTTTTACTTAAAGGTGTTTATTTCAGTTAAAATGACACATTGGTTTTGTTTTATCTAAAAAAAAGTTAAATCTGGTCCTCTGGACATTCAAAAAACAAAACAACAACAAAAATGTAGACAGGTTTCATCTTTCATCCAAAGGACTTCCTCAGTCTGAGGTGCTGTATTCAGCTCAGTCTCTTAAATAGCACCTTCTCAGAGTGGATCAACCAGTTTTGCTGCTGACAACCAAAACCAGCTGATCACATGCTCAAGAAGGACCATCAGCATAACAATGGATCATTAACACCCCGACAGAAGCAAAACTGGTTGATCCATTCTGAGAAGGTGCTATTTATAAGACTGAGCTGAATACAGCACCTCAGACTGAAGAAGTCTTTTGGATTAAAGACGAAATGTTTCTACATTTTTTTTGTTGTTTTGCTTTGTTTTGTTTTTTGAATGTGCAGAGGACCAGATTTAACATGTTTAGATTTTTCTACCTGGATTGAGCATGCATCAGGAGGTTTTGCTTTGTGTTAAATAAAAACTTTCAAAGGTATAATCATTCCTCTCTTATTTTGCTTAATGTCATTTAACTCTGCATGTCATGCCTGAAGTTCTGATGCACAGAATCACAAGTCCAGGTGTGAACTGTGTCACAGAGTAAACACAATAAAAACATACATTATCCGCAGCATTGTTCAATAAATCCATCCATTATCTTTACCTGCTTATTCCATTTTGGGTCACGGGGGTCGCCGGTGCCCATGTCCAGCAATCACTGTGCGAGGGGCGGGGGACACCCTGAACGGGTCTCCAGTCCATCACAGGGACACATAGAGACAAACGAGACAAACAACCATTCACTCTCTCACTCACACCTAGGGACAATTTAGAGTTACCAATCAGTCTAACATGCATGTTTTTGGTCTGTGGGAGGAAACTGGAGTACCTGGAGAAAACCCACGCATGCACGGAGAGAACATGCAAACTCCACCCAGAAAGGCCCCCGAACCGGGATTTGAACTGGGGACCTGCTCACTGAGAGGCAGCAGCTCTACCAGTTGCGCCACCGTGCTGCCATGGTTCAGTGTTCAGTAAAATGGAACACTATTAATGTATTACAGAAAATATACATATAGTAGGAACACTTAATGGTATTGTAGACCATTGCATTAGGTAATACATTCAGCAAGTATTTTTACTTTTAATACTTAAGTATTTTTAAAAGCAAGTACTTTTTACTTTTACTTAAGTAAAAACAATAATGTGGTACTTCTACTTTTACTAGAGTACATTTTTGTCTGTTTATTTGTACTTTTACTTAAGTACAGTGTTTGAGTACTTTCTCCACCACTGAGCAGCACTCAGGGCTGTTTAATAGTGAAAGTAAGAACATTTCCACACACACAATGTGAAGGAACTCAAGGGACTGGGACTGAACAGCTGTGTAGCCTTAAGAAAACCACTAACCAGTGAGGCTAACTGGAAATAAAGGCTTCAGTTTGCTAGGGAGCATAAAGATTGGACTCTGGAGCAATGGAAGAAGGTCATGTGGTCTGATGAGTCCAGACTGACCCTGTTCCAGAGTCATGGGCGCATCAGGGTCAGAAGAGAGGCAGGTGAAGTGATGTACCCATCATGCCTAGTGCCTTTTCATCAATGCAAGAATTTGGTGAAAAATTAATGCAACACTGGATGGAAATAGATCTTGTGACATTGAAGAAGTTTATCGAAACAAAGCCAGAGGGAATGCATGCCGTAATCAAAGTTAAAGGCGGTCCAACGAAATATTAGTGTGTGACTTTTTTTTGGTGGCGACTTTTGTTTTGGCCAGGCAGTGTAGGTAATGTGATTAATATGCATTATGTAATATTAAAATGTTAATCTTTTAAGATTAATTGCATGCGTTAACATATTAACATTGACAGCCCTAATACATACTTATCAGAGTCAGAGAGTCAGAGTTTCTTTATTGTCATTCGCACCTCATGTGGTACATGTGGTGGAGCGAAATTATGTACACAGGGTCCCAGTTACATCCAACAATAAAATGTCTAAGAAAAACAATAATAACATCTAAGATATGAACTAAGAAAAACATCAACTAAATATACACTAAGCACTCATAACATAAAACATTGAACATCAGCACAAACATGAACATGAGTGTGTGAGCAGATGTGCACGCATGAACACATCAACATTGAAACAGATCAGCAGCAACATGAAACAGATCAGCAGCAACATGATGTGGTTTTTCACAGTGATTATTCTAGTTAGAGATTCATGAGTCTTATACGTATATATGGGCTCCTCAGGGATGTATGCTTAGTCCACTACTGTATACCAAATACAAATTCAAGAGTGTAAATCACCCATGACAGCTGATGGTGAAATTCTATCACTGTGCCATCCAGTGACATGCCATCACGTGAGGCAGTGCCGCACCCATCATCATGACAGGTTTCATTCAACCTTTGTTTATACAGGTTAATCCCACTGAGCCTCGGGGACTCATTTACAAGAGAGACCTGATTTATTTAACAAAGAGTGATGACAACAGTGGATAACAATAGACAATCATAAGAGGCATACAGATTTATTTATTTATTTATTTTTTACAAATTAACATAAAATGGCAACTAAAAAGGACAGTCAAAAGGAAAAAGGGTGGCGAAAAAAACCAAACAGCTAGATTCTAAGGTGGTGCAGAAAACTAAAAACAGGAACATGTCTGCATTGGTTTTTGTCAGGAACCTAAATTCAGTTTAAAGTAACTTAAAGAAGTCAGGAGCTTCAGATTTTTTTGCCAGGTATTCCGGGAAACAGAAGCGGAGTAGGAGAAGGTCCTTTTGTCTAGTTCAGTCCTCATTGAGGGAACACTGCAGGTAATAATGTCCTGAGAGCGCACGCTGTAGCTGCACTCACACAGAGACATGTAGGAGGAGATGTATGAAGGCAGCAGACCAAGAAGTGATTTAAAGATGAAAATGTACCAGTGAGAGAGTCTGCGTGAAGTTAATGATGTCCAGTTAACCAATGAATACAGGGTGCAGTGGTGGGTACGATAATCACAGCCAGTTATGAATCTTAGTGCACCATGATAGACAGCATCCAACATCTGCAGCATCCAACATCTGCAGCATCCAACATCTGCAGCATCCAACATCTGCAGAGTTCTTGTAGGAGCGTTCATGCAAATAATGTCACCATAATCAATGGAGGGAAGGAAAGTCGCAGTTACAAAGCATTTCCTAGCATTCAGAGTTAGACAGGATCTGTTTCTGAAAAAGAAACCCAGTTTAACGTTCAGTATCTGACAAGGTTCTGTTTGGATCAGCACAACACCAGACTCAGGAATGGTTTTAAATATATTTATTTTTAAAGCAGCTTCTGGTGGAGGTCCAATCTGGAGAGAGAGACACACAGGTTAGTGACTATGAAGCGGGTGAGGAGTTGGGACTCGCTGTGAATTAGTCACTAGAGATGCACCGATCCAATATCAATATCGGTACAGATATCTGATAAACTTCTGGATCAGGTATCGGTAACAACGTGACCGATCCATTTTCCAATCCATGATGCATGTTGGCTTCAAACTATGCAATGGATTTCATGAACGGCAGCGTGTCTCATGAACCCAGAGTAATAAGACCCGCCTCACATTCAGGAAATCCAGTTCATAGTTTGCAGCAGCTACAACGTGAGGGCTGAGTTAGCAGCACTGTAGCTAACAGCTAACCAACTTTTCATCTAAACGTCCGCTGTGTGGAAGTATTTTACACTAAACACCACAAAACAAGACAGCAACGTGCACTGTCTGCAGAGACATAGCACCACATTAAACCACGGTAAAGTTAGTTTTACGTTGGACATTTGAGCTCCGTGGCGCTACCCTTGCTGAACCCGTGGCAGAGCAGCCCGAGCCCGGCCAGCCGCATCCAATCTACCCCGCTCAGTCTGCCCATCTGAGGAGGGACAGACAAAGCGTGGCTGACCGAAATCAGACTGCCTGCTTCGGATTGAACAAGACAAATCGCTGAAGCCCCGGAGCTTGAATGTTTACCGAGAAGTTGCTAAACTTCATCATATTTAATGACCAACCACTATCAGTTGTAGAAAACGAAGGATTTCGCAGGTTGATAAATGCAACCAAGATATAGTTTACCCTCCAGAGATATCAGTACAACAGTAGACAATTGTAAAAAAAACATGATTTGAAAATTTCAAGAAATTTATATACATTTAAAAAAAACGAAACAAAAAAACAGCTGCTGTACATTATAAAGTGATGTAAATAACTAAAACAGGAACATGTCTGTTGGGTTATGCCATGAACTTGGGAGATGTTTAAAGCCATTTAACATTTTATTTTATTTAATTCATTTATTCATTCATTTAAAAGAAACAAAAATTCATCAAAAAGAAAACATTGAATGAAAAGAGAGCAGAAAGAAAAAAATCTTACATCTGCCCCCTATTTAAAAAAATATAACTTTAATCACTTAAATTAATCACTTTAATATCCACTTTAAAGCTAGGAATAAAAAAACAAACATGTTTTGTGTTAGCAGAATTTAATTCTAACTTTAAAACTTATCCAACATTAATTCAATTCAATTCAG